CCCAAGTTAGGTACAAAGGATTTCCAATGGGAAAGAGTAACCGAGCAGCTGTGGTCGTGCTTGGTGATATCGGCCGTAGCCCCCGAATGCAATACCATGCGCTCTCCCTTGCTCGTCAGGTGTTTATTTATCAGATTTTGCATGTTATATATTTATGCCCATTATTTGGTGATAATATTAGTATGCTCCTTTTTCTCGTTTTTGGATCTGTTATAGTGTAAGCATTGCAAAGTTCTCTTTTCCCCTTCTTTACTCATCATTTCGGGTCTCTAGAATAATGAAACCACCGATTTTCTTGCAGGCCATTTTGGAAGTTGATATTGTAGCATATGGAGGTATGTCTTGTGTCTTGTGAGACGGGTGGAAGTATATTCGATTTCGTTAGCCTAAGCCTGATTCTTTTTTCTCTATTATAAAAATTGTTTCTGCATCAAAATCTGATAAAATCTATATCTATGATTTTTTTCGCTGAGGGTGTGTTTGTTTATCAATTATTTCAACTCGTACTCAATTCATACTCAAAATCTAACTCAACTTTAACTATGTCTCACTATCTTCAATATTATAAATATAATTAAATAATATCAACCAATCATTCTTATATATCACATCAACTTTAATTCAGTATTCATCCGCTCACATAACCATCATTTCACATTATCTCCTCATACTTTTACATCAAATTAACTTTTAATTATTTTATTTTAAATATTATTTTAATATAAACTCAAAATTCCACTAACAACTAACTAAACCAACTTTTTCAAAATTAACCGTGGTTAACAAAAAAACTCATTTCGAGCGGATATATTTGTATACAAACTCGCCCTGAATATGGTCTATGTAGCAGTCTAGCAGATTTGACGTCTGTTCGTGGTTTTCAATTTTTCTTCATTATTCTCTTCATTGACTTATTATGCCACTGCCATTGATTATAACAATGTACCACTTGGTTCTTTTCCTGAGTAGAGAGTTGATCTTTGGTAGGTTCAGAGTCACACATTTCAGTTTTGGAGCACCAATCTATTCATATACATAAAACTGTAAGATTTCGAATATTTGTAGTGAACTTATGCATAAGGACATTCAAGGTCCTCTGAGAAAAATTATGTTTTTTTTTTTTTTTTGCNTAATGAAAAAAAAAAAGCTCACCATATATATATATAAATAAATAAATATATATATATACAGGGGGTTGGTTCAAATAAAAACTAGTCCTGGTGTGAGAACCGTGAGAACCATATTTGGTGCTATTTTTATTTGTGTATGATGTTATTTTTAATCTCACATGGTGCTATCATTTTTACAAATGCTAACATAAATTGTGTTGCTATTTTTAATAAAATACATCCTGATTAAAAATAGTACTAAAACACAATCAATCATAGCACTACATACAATTAAAAATTGCGGTTCTCACGGTTCTCACGCTAGGACTTAGTTATCATTTGAACCAAATCCTATAAATATATATATATATATATATATATATATATAAATATATATATATATTCTGAATTTACTTCTTTTTTTGAATTGTAGCTGAATTTTCTGTTGGCAGTTGAAAGATATGAAGACTGTTCGGAATATCAATTTTTACACAAAAGTTACAATTTTTTTCATTTTGCAGAATCCTCCATCTGTTCCTACTCTAGTGGCTGTGAAGTGTGCCAGCTGGATTAGAAAGTCAACTTTCATTGTCGATTGGCATAATTTTGGATATACTCTGCTTGCTTTGTCCCTTGGAAGGAATAGTCTCTTTGTTGCAATGTATCGTTGGTGAGATTTGATTCCTTTGTTTACTCTAATTGATTTTTTGAGGTCCGACAATTATTATTTTTTTTTTTGGTCTAGGATCGAGAAGAAATTTGGCACGATGGCTCACGGTTCCTTATGTGTGACGAGAGCAATGCAACACGAGTTGTCCCACAATTGGGGAATTAAGTGATCAGAGAGTTAATCTCAAAACTTTTTTCGTGCATTTTTTCGATTTTACATTTTTCCATTTTTTGTTAATTTAGAGCCACTGTTCTATACGATCAACCTCCAGAATTCTTCCGGCCTGCTTCACTTGTGGAGAAGCATAACGTGAGTGAATTTATATACGCCATATCATATTAGCTTGAATAATCTGTAAAAATTCTAAAATCGATGAAATTACAGTTGCTTTGCAGGATTAGTAAAAATCTTAACGAGCCGGTCGGTCAACAGGATTGCGTAACCAATGGAAAAGGAAGGAGTATATTTTCTTCCATGTGTGGGAACCAAATAAGCTAGCCTATGGCTTATTAGCTTATTTGGTTAGCTTATAAGTTTTTTTGTATTCAAATAAACTTTGTTTGGCAGGACAAACATTATTAAAAAGTTTGAGCTTATCTCATAAGCTTTTTTGGGTAGTTTTTTAAATAAGCTCCTTGAAATTTTTATTTCAACTTGATAAGCTAATTTTATCAAATACTTTTATCATGTAAGCTAGCTTTTCAGCTACAAGTCATATTAAGCTATAAGCTCGAAAACCACTTATAAGTTATAAACTAGCTTATCAGCTAGTTTTACCAAACATAACTTTTGTTATTTCTAATCTTATCTATTTTCAAGGATATTTACCTTAATTTGGTGTGAAATGTTTCTACGCGATGGGGCTGGCCGGAGCAGATAACAATAATCCAAATTCGACTCCATTTACGACTCAAGTTGGCAGTGAAATATTACTGAAGCAAAACAGACCAGCACTTCTTGTTAGAAAGACCAGCACTCTTTCTATACAATTTCGAGACAGTCGAAAAAACGACTGAAATGGCGTGTACAACCGTACACCGAAAAATTAAAAAACGAATAAACTCTTAAATAATGGTTAAAAAGTCTCAAACAGAATTTCTTTGCCATAAACTATGGTGAAAAATTAATTTCGAGTCTGTTGAAAAAACGACTGATCTTTAGATTGACCTGGATGGAGTGTAAATAATATTTTTATGCAGGACACCCAATGAAGATTTTGGGATTCTTCTAGAAGCAGCCCTTATGTATGATAGACGAGTTGCTACACTGCTCGGTGAGGATAACTCAACTGGGGATGAAGTTGTTTGGAATGAAATTCGTAAAGGAAAGCAATTCTCATACCCGAGATTGCTGTTCATTATTACCGGTAAATTCCCAAATACGTTTTTAAACTTCACTTCATTGAATTGATGGAGCGTTTTTTTTTATAAATATCCCAAATAGAGTCTTAATACACAACTACAAAGTGTAGGTAAAGGACCCGAGAAGGAAAAGTACGAGGAGAAGATTCGAAAGATTAGTCTGAAACGTGTTGCTTTCCGTACCATATGGTTGTCTGCGGAGGGTTATCCATTGCTTCTTGGTAGTTCCCTCCCAAAAATTTAATTACTAATATTCCCTTGAGATTTNGTCTGCATACTTCATCGTCTGGGTTGGACTTCCCCATGAAGGTTTTGCATTAATATGTTATAATTTAATTGCCAAAAAAAAAAATGTTATAATTTAATTTAGAATTAATTACAAATAAAATCTTATCCTTTTGTCTAACTGCAAATAAAACTCAACTTTTTCAATTTGGCAAAAAAATACCAAACCTTTAATAAGTGTTGCAATTGTGTCTCAATCACCTTCCGCCGCCGCCGGACCGCCGTCGACCGCCGCCCGCCGCCGACCAACTTCGCCGAATGTTGAAAAGTTTTACATGATCTTGTAGCTCTCCTCCGTGCCGACACATATTCGAGTTTCACGAAAAAATTCCGACAATAAGGCTTCTAATTTTCCGGTCGTAGATCTACAAATTTTCTCCGATATTCTTTCGCAAATTCCCGGTGACTCGCTTTGACCCATGTGTCACTGAAGGTACTGTTGAACTCCTCTCGCAAAGCCGCATCTAGTGACGTCCACCTTCGCCGGAACCGGTGACTTTTTCCAGCGACGACTTTTCCGGGTGACGACTTTTCCGGTCATCTCCTTATCGTCGGAATTTTTTCGTAAAACTTGGATATGTTGTCGACACGGAAGAGATCTACAAGATCATGTAAAAATTTTCAACATTCGGCGAAGTTGGCTGGCGGCGGGTGGCGGTTGCGGCAGCGGCGGAAGGTGATTGAAACACAATTGCAACACTTATTAAAGGTTTGGTATTTTTTTGCCAAATTGAAAAAGTTGAGTTTTATTTGCAATTAGACAAAAGGTTAAGATTTTATTTACAATTAACCCTTTAATTTATATAAAGTTCGATCATCCCGCAAGTGCATAAAACTAATTGCGATTTACTACACAATCTTCACTATAATCATCTCTTTTGTCTTTAATGTTTTGAACATTTCTTGAGGAAAATTCCTGATATTTGGAGGTTTCGGTTGATTAGGTAGTGGATATGTTTGGCTGTGGACTACCTGTCTGTGCTGTTTCGTATTCTTGGTAAGATCTTATTATTTTTTTCCCCTTTGGCTGGGCTATTAACTATTGTAATAGACTATACTATTT